AGGAGTTATAGAGGGGGTTATACGGTGTTATAGGAGGAGTTATAGGGAGGGTTATATGGAGTAATAGGAGGGGTTTTAGGGAGGGTTACATGGAGTAATAGGAGGAGTTATTGGGAGGGTTATATGGAGTAATAGGAGGAGTTATAGGGAGGGTTATATGGAGTAATTGGAGGAGTTATTGGGAGGGTTATATGGAGTAATTGGAGGAGTTATTGGGAGGGCTATATGGAGTAATTGGAGGAGTTATATGGAGGGTTATATGGAGTAATTGGAGGAGTTATAAGGAGGGTTATATGGAGTAATAGGAGGAGTTATAGGGAGGGTTAAATGGAGGGCTATATGGAGTAATTGGAGGAGTTATATGGAGGGTTATATGGAGTAATTGGAGGAGTTATAGGGAGGGTTATATGGAGTAACTGGAGGAGTTATTGGGAGGGTTTTATGGAGTAATAGGAGGAATTATGGGGAGAGTTATACGGAGGGTTATATGGAGTAATAGGAGGAGTTATAGGGAGGGTTATATGAAGTAATAGGAGGAGTTATAGGGATGGTTATATGGAGTAATAGGAGGAGTTATAGGGATGGTTATATGGAGTAATAGGAGGAGTTATAGGGAGGGTTATATGGAGTAATAGCAGGGGTTATAGGGAAGGTTATATGGAGTAATAGGAGGAGTTATAAGGATGGTTATATGGAGTAATAGGAGGGGTTATAGGGAGAGTTATACGGAGTAGGAGGAGTTATAAGGAGGGGTATATGGAGTAATAGGAGGAGTTATAGGGATGGTTATATGGAGTAATAGGAGGTGTTATAGGGAGGGTTATATGGAGTAATAGGAGGAGTTATAGGGAGGGGTATATGGAGTAATAGGAGGAGTTATAGGGATGGTTATATGGAGTAATAGGAGGTGTTATAGGGAAGGTTATATGGAGTAATAGGAGGAGTTATAGGGAAGGTTATATGGAGTAATAGGAGGGGTTATAGGGAGAGTTATACGGAGTAATAGGAGGAGTTATAAGGAGGGGTATATGGAGTAATAGGAGGAGTTATAGGGATGGTTATATGGAGTAATAGGAGGTGTTATAGGGAAGGTTATATGGCGTAATAGGAGGGGTTATAGGGAAGGTTATATGGAGTAATAGGAGGGGTTATAGGGAGAGTTATACGGAGTAATAGGAGGAGTTATAAGGAGGGGTATATGGAGTAATAGGAGGAGTTATGGGGAGTGTTTTATGGAGGAAGGAAATGCTTACTACCTCCAGACAGTCACCACTTGCTTGCAAAAAAGTAGTGTGTTAAACAGATGGGTGAGTGATAGCTGTGTGTTATACAGAGAGGTGAGAGATAGCGGTGTGTTATACAGAGAGGTGAGACATAGCGGTGTGTTATACAGAGAGGTGAGAGATAGCGGTGTGTTATACAGAGAGGTGAGAGTGTGTTACACAGAGAGGTGAGAGATAGCTGTGTAAGTTATACAGAGATGGTCAGTAAAATATATTTGTGTGCCATGCAAAAAGAGAGTAATAGATAGCTGTGTAGGTAGGTTATACAGAAAGGATCACTGTGGGAGATTATATATATATATATATATATATATATATATATATATATATATATACACACACACACACACACACACACACACACACACACTTCTAAATTTATTTAAAAGTTCTGAAACTGTTTTTCAGCAGTGGGTCATAGAGCTTGCACTCTGATGGTGTTTGATTCCCTGTCAGCATTAACCATGTCACTGCTGCCCCTCCCCCTGTTAATGGCTTTCACACGCTGACTGCTAGTCCGTTTTGGTCGCTGTCAGTGTCGCATTCCCTGTACCCCACCCCCCAGGAAGATGAGAGGCAACAGGTGTCTGTCCCCAGAGTGACCAAACCGGGCAGCAGCACCGTTAGCATGTACCGCAATGCCAGTCCCACTGATCAGACACCCCCACATCCCTACACCTGACTGTCACAAGGACCTTAACCACTTAATGTTCAATGACAAGTCAGGACTGTCCGATAAGGCATGGCACTAACCCTGCTCCTGAAGGGGTTAAAAAGTAGTTTTTTGTTTTTTTAATGGTCTTTAGCAAAGCCACCCCAATCTTTTTGTAGGGACCCCTCCTCCCCCCGTCTGCCAGGCACGTAGTTGGTCAAACAGCGTCACTCACCGTTCTGAGGAACTGGATTTCATCCTCGCTCTCCCCTCCGTCAGCCATGGCGCGGCGGGTGTCCTCGTCGAGATCCCCGAGGCTTCCCTAAACTGTAATCCGTGCGTTCGGAGGGGGAGAGAGAGAGGCTGCTTGGCTCCCCTCTCCCTGTGCAGAGAGATGACACACAGGCTGAGATAGATCCTGGCAGCCGTCAACTCTCCCCTCCGATCCCCTCCTCTACTCACTGATTGGAAGGAGACCTGAGGCAGCCAAAAAAAAAAAAAAAAGCCACAGGGAGGGGGACCACAGCAGAAAAAAATAAAACACATGGTGGGCACAAGGAAGGAATGGAGGGGGATATGGGTATGGCAGAAACAGATACAAAATAAAAGTCTGGGGATGTAAAATTAAATGAGGTTTAAATAATGCTGGACCCCACACACAGCCAAGTGCCAAAATAATTAACATACATTAACACTAAGATAGGTTGTATTCACACACACACAAAAAACACATATATTAAATACTTTCCTACTATAACAACATACAATGTATACCTACATAGCAACGAGTCCCAGTAACACAGAGAATGGGCTATTCTATCGAGGGAAACGGAGAGAAGAACTCTAAGAATTTTCTGGACAATTCATTCTGTCCGCTGGTTCCCCCAAATCACTTTCACCAACATTGCTCAACACAGGCGTCCCAGCAGCTTCTCCTACGATCCATTCTTAACCCTTTACACCTTCCTCCTAGACTGCAAGCTTTTCGGAGCAGGGCCTTCACCTCTAGTATCTGTTAACATCTTTTTTGTCTGTCAGTTACGCATCATTAAACAACTCCAATGTATTATTGTAAAACAGTGCGAAAACATTACACTATATAAGTGGTGATAATAAACTAATAAATGCCAGTTCACCCAGCTCGTGTCACATATATTGCATACTAATCACAATCCCGGTGACGTCACTTTTACAGCGTGGTTTGAAAACTCCCACCGTTGATCCGAATTGATGACATTTTAAATCCGTGTGAGCTGATACTCCAGATACTCTTCGCGAAACATTCTAAAACTATTCAGAGAGATTTTTTGAACACACAAACCGCATTAACAAACTGTAACAAACCGATGGGATACTTATTGTACAGCGCTGCAGAATTTGTTGGTGCTTTAGAAATAACAAGATCTACCACCCAGAGGAAAAGAAACCAGACATCATACCGTTAGTCCAATGTAAACCTGACGGAGGCTGTAACACTGACCCAACAGTATTTAGTTTTTCTGAATTCTAATGTCCCAACTACCATTGACTGTCCGGGATTCTGATCATGAATTTCTTATCTTTGAAAGGGTCTAGGCTTCTCGCTTACTGACCAATTCTGCGACTGTCCCACACGGTCCCGTGGCTGCTATCCCCCCAAACTGTCCTTCCTATTGTATTTATATCCGACTTCCTCTAGATTGTAAACTAGTTAATGCACAGTCATCTAACCTATTGTTTGTCAAAATCTGTGATAGTCTGTCTCATCTATTGTTAAATGTTCCCTTTTAGAATATTATAAAATACTGCAGAATGAGTTGGCGCTTTATAAATAGCAATAATAGACTAACGTAATGTCTTCTCCAAGTAAAGTAGTGATGGTAATTCATTCAAAGTGGCGCAGTATTAGTGTAGCTCTATTCCAAATTCAAGATTACAGTGGACTTGCTCCCATCATTGTCAGCCAGATTACGTGTGATGGGAGTTGCCGAGCAGTACTGTTACTGCTAATCCGCTCAGGTCAATGTACAGCATACAGACCTCACAGTTCTCTATTGAAGTTATAAGTAAATTGCGCATTAACGGACGCTGTGAGCGCTCAACACACTGGAGTCCACATTTTAAAACAAAATCCACAGAGATTTCCTTTTGGCCACTGTTTAATTGGTCATGTGAGAAACTGGCTCCCATGAAACTATTTTAACATGGGTTTTGGAATTTTAATTTGTGAAATGTGTAGGAATTAAGAATTAATGATATTCATCTGATTCCTGTAATCTCTCGATATGGTATTGTATAATATCTATAAATGGAGAGTCCAATACGGGCTGCAGGCCGACTGATTCCTCTCTTATTAGTTCCAGACAATCTGAGTAAAAACTCTGTAAGGGACGTCTCACCCAGCATGCAGCAATACTGAGAGGATAATTTAGGGGCGGAGGGAGGGCTAGTGATTGAGTGAGAGTAACAGCTTATTGTTAATTGCTGGTGTGAGAGTATGGAGGGGTGGGGAGGAGCATTACTGGTGTAAGGGGGGAGCATAGCTGGTGTGAGTAAAGGGGGGGCATATGGTGTGATTATAGCCCGTGTGAATAAAGGGGGGGGGCATATGGTGTGATTATAGCCCGTGAGTAAGGGCATAGCCGTGTGAGTAAAGGGGGTGAGGGGGGGCAATATGGTGTGATCATAGCCAGAGTAAAGGGGGGGGGCATATGGTGAGATTATAGCCCTTGTGAGTAAAGGAGGGGGCATCGCTGGTGTGAGTAAAAGGAGGGGGCATCGCTGGTGTGAGTAAAGGGATGGCGCATTGCTGGTTTGAGAAAAAGACAACACACTAAAAAAATGCTTAATTAATTTTACGCTTGCATTCATATTTTACCAAAGAAACCGCAGCTGCTAAACCCATACGCAACACCAAGATTGACTGACGTGATTGCACAGCAAAACACATAATACAAAAAAAATAGATTTATTGTAAAACCGACAAAAGATTAATTATTAAAACCAGCATTTCAAATGCAGGAAAAAAATTAAAAATACTAAATAAATTTAATTTAAAAAAAAGTTACAAATAAAATAAGACAGACACGAAAAGGAGCATTTGAAGAGACTGATACTACGTTCCTGTTAGAAGGAGGAGCAGCAAACCATATGATAGGGAAACATTTTAAAACATATGGCTTATGGCTCCAGGAAAGGACTCTGGGAAACAAGGGAAGCTTTCAGTATAATAGTTATATATTGCAGATCTGACCACCAGATTGTTTCATCCGATCCAGGACCATTCCATGGATACCTTCAGACATCCATAGAAATAAGCATTAAAACACATGAAGTACTTTTAAAAAGCAGACCAATTGAGTGCTGGCAGTTGGAGAGCTTCTCGACTGATGTAAGGAGAACCCCGAATGACCAAGATATTCTTTATAGAGAAATGTGGACAATCAGACCTGGTTACACAAAACCAGTGGGCTTACTATGTGGCCTATAGAGCCAGATGGACCACTTCATCAAAGTGTGATTATAAATCAATACAGTCTTCAATAATTGTAATGCTGTGTGAGTAGAAAGGGTTTATAGTGGAGATTTCATAATCGGGTAGACCATCCTCCACCAGTGTTTCAAAACACACATCCTTTGACTGATCGAGAATGATATCAGTAAGAGCACCACCAGAATCTGCTAGCTCTTCATCCAACGATGGTGTTGCTTGGACATCCAGACTCCGCTGACCCATGACACCAAGGGTAATATTTTTATGACTAACGAAAACTTGTCGGTTCCTGCCATTTAGAGTCTTTTGAGTGGGAAGGCAGTCCGTGTTTTTTTCTCCTATTCCTTCTGCAAAACCAATCCCACTCTCGTGACTCAATGATCGTCCGAATCGTCTCGCGCCTTGGCGTCTGATTTTGTTTGTGGCAAGTTTTTCACAGTCTTTCTGTTCAGTCTCCACCACTGATGTTTGTGATACCCAAGGGAAGCTGAGCATCAGCTTGCGCACACTACGGTACTGTGCTGGGTGACCACTCGCTTTACTAAAAAGAGGAGGGCTTGGTGACAAAGCAGATATGGGGGAAATAGTGTGGTTTAAGGAGAACTCTGAAGTTGACTCCAAAGGGTGCTCAAATTCTATGACCACAGGTGTGTATTCATCTGGTTTTGTAACAGCGCTGTCCTCTTGGATTATTTCTTCTGCGCTGGCGGAGGTGGTGGAATCCACAGTTTGGTAGAGAAGTTGTCCATCTTCCTCAACTTTTGCACAATCTGCCATATTCTCCGGCATGCTCAGTGAGCGACGTAATGTGCGTGACTTTTTCCCAGTAGATGCTTCCATCTCCACTGACTTCCAAGTGGTTGTAGTGCGCAGAGAGGTTCGGGAAGCAGATATGTCAGAGCACACTGTGGGAAAAAACAAACAACTAAATTCAGTAGAAAAAAAAAAGTTTTTTTTTTTTTTTATACATAAACCCAGTGATGTCTGAGCCTGTCCTGATAATGCGCGGTTAGATCTGATACATCTGAAATGCTGACAAGTTATAACACATACATTGTGTTGCCTTTAGAGATGAAGTGGTAACCCGTAATTCTCGCCCATTGAAGATGGGACCCTCCAGCGCCTCTGAAACCATTCTCTTCATATAATTCCAGCTGCTTTCTTCTGGATTCTGCAAGGGAGGATATGCATAGTGTAAATTGTTTTAATGGTGTTAGTGTGGATAACACTTGCAACCTTTTTCTTTATATTTTTATTGCTTAGTGAAAGATATGGGACTACTTCCACCCTGTACAGAGAAGGGTCAGTTGATGCATTACTCACTGGATTTTTAGCAATACGCGGCCGGTGAAAAAGTCGCAGTGAATTCCGTACTTTATCTCTTCTGTCAAGTTGACCAGGAGACACCGATACCAGTCCAGATTGGCCCCTGGCAAACAAATAGTTGTGGTATGTACAGGAGGGCTGCATGCAAGTCATAGTGCAGTCCTGTGTACCTGCCCTCACCTGTGTGCTCTTTTACCCTCCTTCTTCTTGCCTCTGACTCGTGGCACTTGCACTGGAGATTCCGGGGTCTGTGTAATGATTGGCGGAACTGCCGTGAGCTCGAGGAGTGGCCCAGGAGCCAGTGAGACGTCCAGAAACACATCTCCAATACCACTATCTTGAGATTAGGGGGAGAGAATAGACACAATACAGGTTTTCAAATAAACGGAGGGTGCTGCCCTGGACTGGCACCATTACCAAATTATTACCTACCTGTTAATGGGGAATCTGCCAGGTCACACTGTTCTGTGCTAGGTAAACTGTCATCCGTAGGTCCCAGGAGTGACTTCCTAAGACAAGAGGCACAAAAGGGAGAGAAGGTAAAGACAGGAGCATACTGCGGCAATCTAGAAAGTCTATATTACATGAACTAACCACTAGTAATAATACAGAATAGAACGTGTATACTATGCTACAAGGTTAATTCAAGGCTGGTTTATGGGTTACATTTTGACTTCTTGATTGCAAAAAGTGTAGCAAATATATCACGTTACACTAGGTGGAGCCATTTATGTTGCACATTCCCCAGTCTATAAATTTGCCATTGAAATGCCACTTATATTCATTACTAAATAAATAGGTCTTATTAAACACAGATTAATACAATATTAAAATACAAATATGAGATGTTAAAGTCAAAGTTGCCAACAGGAAAAAAATTTAAATTCTTCTATTAGATAACACAGTCATTCCTAAAAAGGACTAGATTAACCCAAGATTTCCCAACTTTTCCTAGTTTATGTTTCCCCCCCCTTGGCTATCACCTCAGGCAGAGATGTGTGGTGCCCTTAATGGGGTAACTTGCAATGTTCAGGCTGTGGAGGGTCCGTACCGTTTTTTTGCTGTGCATTGCTCGGTACACACAGTGTCCTCCGAGGCCTTGCGTTTTGTCTTGCATCGAACATTACGATCTCCTTCATCTGCGAAAGAGGAAAAAACACGGAAAACGAGCCAATAATACAGGCACGTGAAGGGCGGCTGTGGAGACTCGATAGGTGGAACCATCGCTCACCTGTGGCAGATACTCGATCTGGGGTCACGCTGGAAGAGACAAGTCCAGATCGGAGTTTGCTCAGGGCCTCATTAACAAGTCCTGACGGGACACAAGGAGGAGAGAACAGGCAGCAATTAGAGGACAGAAGGTCTTTATAACCAAACGTATAAAACTATGGGACTATTATTAAAACCACAACCACGTGTTCAAACTGCACAAAAATGTGATCCACTAACATTCGATATTCCACGAAAGGAAGGTTGTGTGTTTTCTAAACATTTGTTAGTCTTTATAATTTCTTGTTTAGTGTTAGTGACTGGGACAAAGAAACACCTTATTCAAAACCAATATTGCACTTTAATAACTTCTGGTGACATTTCCGGCCTATCAGAGAGAGTTCTGGGTAAAAACCACAGAGTGCACAACATGCACACAAGTTAACAGCAGAGGGCGCACAACAGTTTGTCATGAGAAGTTGAAAAGTGCATTTTGTCTACAACAAAAACTAAAGTTAGCTCCAGGACCGTTTACGGACAGGGACAGTTCACTTCAAATTTTAGGCCAGAATAGTCAAACTGAAAACGGAATTGGAGAATTCTCCAACGTGTTATTTTGCCCCCAAATTTAAAATTCACTTTGAATTCTGGACAGTTACCCTTTACGGAATGTCCCTGGAAACATTATTTGCAAGGCTTCATTGTGTCCATTAGACAGTCTGCATCCTGTATTAACTGTAATAAAGTGTTGAGCCTCATAAATGAAAAATCACAATTAGTCTTCCTTAATTATATCTCTCTGTAACACGTAAAGACATTTAAACGCTCAGAATCTCCCACCTCCCATACTTCGTCTGCGCCTCCTCCGATTATTTCCATCTGGAAGGCTCACAATGTCATCTATCGCATCATTGGAAGGGAAGGAGATAGTTTCCAGTATAAACGGCGGAGTATTTCCTGTAATTAAATTAAATTAAACAGCCAGAAAATATTACAGTCTATTGAGTAAACTGCAGGGTGACACAGAGAGAAGGAGCTACGGGACACACAATCTGACCCTCCCACTGCAGGGTGACACAGATAGAAGGAGCTATGGGACACTGAGTCTGTCCCTCCCACAGCAGGGTGACACAGACAGAAGGAGCTATGGGACACGGAGTCTGTCCCTCCCACTGCAGGGTGACACAGATAGAAGGAGCTATGGGACACTGAGTCTGTCCCTCCCACTGCAGGGTGACACAGACAGAAGGAGCTATGGGACACGGAGTCTGTCCCTCCCACTGCAGGGTGACACAGACAGAAGGAGCTATGGGACACGGAGTCTGTCCCTCCCACTGCAGGGTGACACAGACAGAAGGAGCTATGGACACGAGTCTGTCCCTCCCACTGCAGGGTGACACAGACAGAAGGAGCTATGGGACACGGAGTCTGTCCCTCCCACTGCAGGGTGACACAGACAGAAGGAGCTATGGGACACGGAGTCTGTCCCTCCCACTGCAGGGTGACACAGACAGAAGGAGCTATGGGACACAGAGTCTGTCCCTCCCACTGCAGGGTGACACAGACAGACGGGAGCTATGGGACACAGAGTCTCTCCCTCCCACTGCAGAGTGACACAGACAGAAGGAGCTATGGGACACGGAGTCTGTCCCTCCCACTGCAGGGTGGCACAGACAGACGGGAGCTATGGGACACGGAGTCTGTCCCTCCCACTGCAGGGTGACACAGACAGAAGGAGCTATGGGACACAGAGTCTGTCCCTCCCACTGCAGGGTGACAGACAGAAGGGAGCTATGGGACACAGAGTCTGTCCCTCCCACTGCAGGGTGACACAGACAGAAGGAGCTATGGGTACCCATTCTTTGGGGAGGGAAGGTGGCAGAATGTGTGCATCCAATTGCCCCATGTCATTCTGCATCCCCCAATGAGCCAGTTTGTCTGTACCTATGCTCTCTGCATGTTCAATCAGTGTCTGCATCACCGATGCCTGGAGCTGGATTTGCCGCTCAGTAGCGATTGTCAGCTTCTCACTCAAAGCACTACAGGAGAAAAGATTTGGTGCCAAAACAACAGCCAGATTTCCAGAATCCATTCTGTTCTCATTGCTCCTGTAATTCAGAAATTCACAGGTTAATATAGCTGACAGTGAGACAAGAGACTGCCTTCTCTCCAGCTAACATGGGTAATATTCCATTACAGTTACTCCCATTACATTAACCTCCTCACATACAGGAGCAGCCGCTGCCATCAGTGCTGGGAAGTAAAGGTTCAGTAATAGCTCTCTCGTTGCTAACCTGGCTGCCACACTCTGTAGGAAAGTACAGAAGTATCGCAGGGTGCCTGCGTGGATGGCAGGGAGTAGACATGTCACCAGAGTGGTGGCCAATACCCGGTGCTCCTCCTCTAGAGTGTCCTGGATCTGGCACAAGGGGTCCTGTAGCTCCTGGGGTATGATGGGCATTGGGAGCTCTCTGAAAAACTGCTTGAGGAGGCAGGCCACATCCCCAGGGTTGGCAGAGTCCACGTGGCATTTCCCAGACTCCAGGTCAGCCTAAGGGACAAATGTCAAAACATGGCGCACATTACACCCCCAGAAATGCAATATATCATATTTTCACAATGCAAGTACAGTTAAAATTCCTCCTTTCTCGGGAAGGGGGGGGGGGGGGAATTTATATTCCTCTTTAACCCCACACCCAAAACACACAACCATAATGCTATGCAGCTGGCGACAGAGTCAATTCAAATGGGACCCTGAGAAAAATTACAACGTGGGGTTGTCTGTACCTAAAACCACTGCCTTTCCCCCTGTCAGCTACTTATTAACCCATAGGAAAGATCAAATTTAACGGTCTGTGCGGAGTTATTACAGCCGCCATTTATAAACAATTCTGGCAGTGGGGGAGCATAGAATACAGAGCTTATGGAGTGTGGTTTTTATCTGAAGGTGACTCTTAAGGGGTGGGCCCTCTGTATCTCCCATTTTTGTTATTTGTGATTTGGAAAATTTAACAAAATAAAAAAATAGTTATTTTTTGAACACGTGAAACACTTTGTTGTCAAGACTTGCGGTATATTTATTGGACGCACACAGACTGACACAGTGAAATGCTTCCTCATATATTAGATTTACTGGAGGTCTGATATCAGGTGACACAGTGGCAGTTCCAAGCAGCCTCCAGACCTCCAGTGAGATTGCTTTATGGCAGTGCAGTAAAACTAAATCTCTGATACATTACATTGACATGACCATTGGTGGCAGAGTGCCATGTCACCAATGACCAAAAGCCAGTGTAGACTGAGCAGGGGTTTAAATGTGTCACCAAGAACCTGTTTAAAGAACTGGAAGACTAACTACATCAGAGGACGCATGTATTTCTCAAACATCCTCCGCTCCACCCCATGTGGTCACAGTGTCTTCCTCTCTGGCCGGAAAGTCTTGCTACACTTTGCCAGCAAAATCTTACACAAGTCATCGACATACGGCAGAAATGGCAGCCAAAGCTTCCAGGGGCTGAGAAGGATAAGACATTTAAAAACACAGCCAGCAATGGATCTTGTAAATCATAATCCTTACAGACAGACAGTACTTATTATTGCACAACGTCTATCCACAGCAGGTTATTAATGTGGACACACAGCAAGGTTTGAAATCTCCATTTCGGCTATTGTGACCTAAATCTAAGTCAGTTCTCTTAACTCGCTGCTTAGGCCCTGGGGAGATAGCACCGCTAAGCGGACAAGGGCACATGTATAAGTGTGGGGATGGATGCTTGTGTAGGTATATGTGGGTGGGTTTATGTGGTGTGTGAGTTTGCTGGGATGGTCTTGCCACTTAGGATTCAGGCCAGCAAACAGCTTCTCCTCGGTCTCCTCTCGTTTGTCCTGGGCCTGTAGGTTAATTTGCTTATGGCATGGATGTCGAGGTTATTTTGGCATCCCTCAGAGCTGCTGCTACGCTGGATGGTGGCCGGCTCACTTACCCTCAACTCTGGTATGGCTGCCGGTATGGTCCCCCTGCGCGGCCAGGCTCCTACAGGGACCTCCCCTGTGGCCTCTGCTCCTGGGGTATGTACACACTAGCATCGGCCGGTGTTCCTGCCCGGCGGTTAGACTCTCCCCGGATGCCGCACCTGGGGCCCGGTTGAGGAGTAGGAGCCAGGGCCTTCATCAGGCCCGCGTGTCTGAGGCTACAGACACGCGGTCTTCGACTACCGGCCTACTTCTGCTGTGGGAGACTTGTGGCCTCCGGCGATGGGCAGTAGGAGGCGGGCAGCGAGTCCCGCAAGGCCGTCCAGAGGCCTACACGATCGCCTTGCGGCAGGCACAACGGCAGGGCTGTGTCTGGGGCCCTGATGGACCTTGCTGCTGTTCCTGGAAATGCCCAGCAGGTGGCACCTGGAACACCTTTGGGGAACACAGTGGAAGCTGGAATTCGGAGTAATCTGCCAGGATCTTCTGCACTTGTTATGCCGTGGTCGGATCATAGGGCATCGGCTGGAGAGTACGGGGTTTCTTTTTTTAATCCAGTCGTGTCTCGAGTTGGGTGGGTTCCTTTCAGGTCTGCAGGTTTTTTGGTTTTTTTGGATCAGTGGGAGCAGGGGGTAAAAATGAGCAAGGAGTCCACTCAGGATAGTCAGCTCAGGACGGTTTGGACCTGTAGCGTTACTCCCCTTATCCAGGGGCCGGCCGCGGTCCTCTCTTCGAGCCGCGCGCGGTCCTGCTGCTGCACGAGCCGCGTGCGGCTCATCCGACGGCCTCAACAGGAAGGCGGGCAGTGACCGCGAGAAGCGGTCACGTGTCCCGCATGAATCTAAGAGCGCGCCGCGAGTCTCGGGCGCGCTCTTAAAGAGACAGTGGGAGCCTAAATTGTTAAAAGGCTCCCATTGGCCCCTGTCATGCCACACTCCCCATACACTTACCTTTTGGGGGTGTGGATATGACAGGAGCCAATCACATTAGTTTAAAAGCTATATATACTTACCTCTCCCTTAACTCCCTGCCCTATCGTGGTTTCTGTATCAGTTCCCTTTAGCGCTTGTTGTGTTCAGTTGTGTTTCTCCGTTTTGACTTTGGCTTTGTTTCTGACTACGTTTTCTCTTTATCCTTATCTGTTCTGGTTGTCGGCTTGCTGTTTACTGTGTACCAGACCCCGGCTTGTCCTAGTTTACGCTGTCTCTCTGTGTCCTTGACTTCGGATCGTTCCTGACTCTGCCTCCTCTCATATACGTCGAGTCTGGCCATTCTAAGGTCCGGTAGACGTATCACTCCTCTGTGTTGTCTTCTGTTTAGCCGAATCCTGCGTGTTGGGGTATATTCTCGTTACAGGACCCCAACTTAAATTGTCCCCTACTGCGCAGTCCTTGGGGCCCCCTGTGTATGGAGGATGTCTCAGGTGTCCTCTTGCCTAGTTTGTGTAAGTCTTTACCTCAGGTCTGCCATTCTGTTTTTGAGGTCCGTCTATTTCAGCTGGGTTTTTCCCCTGGCATTCTTTGGGGCCATGCGAATCGAGGAGCTGGTGTGACCGAGTTGTCAGCGAGAAGGGGGGGGGGGGGTTGATGTTTTTTGCATAGCTGACCATATTTCCGAGATTCGCCACTAGAAGATTGATGTCTTTGGGAAGTGTGTGCGGTTCCAGCATTTGTCCTGTTTTTCCTTCTGTGAGTATTGTCCCCTCCACCTGGCATCTCTGGCATCCCTTTTGGTTCACGAGGACAGAAGCTTTCTCTCCCATTTCCAATTCATTAGGGTGTTCCGCTTGGGGCTTGAGTTCTTGAGTATTGATAGCAAGGAGTACGGGGGGCATTCATTCCATATAGGGGCTACTACGGAGGTCTCTAGGCTTGGCATGCTAGCGCAGGTAGTTCAGAGAATTGGGCGGTGGGCGTCAGGGCGTTATGTTTCTTATGTTTGCCCTGCCGGTCTCCTGAGTTGATTTTATTACCGCAGGTCCAGTCCCCCACCCCCAGGGTTTGGATTATGGAACACTCATATCTATTGGGCCACGACGCGTGCGGCAGTCCGGCCTGGAAGCGAGCTATTGGGGTTTACGCCTGCTTAAGCGGAGGTTACGTGGTTTGGCGCCAGAGGCATGAGGTGGGTGCAGCTTCTAACTGAACTGGTTCAGCTGTCTCGCCTCCTGGGGGTTCCCACTGTCCTTGTCATCCATCTGGAGGGGAATGACCTGAATCCCGATATTTATATTTGTTTTCCGAGATTGATGATTTTAAGTTGCCTTTTAGAATTTAAAACTTTATTTAAACTATGGGATTTAGCATCTGCCATTAGGCGGGAAATTACACGTATTTTAGTTTTATTCCCACACGTATGCCTAGTCCGAGGTTATTGCCCGTAATTTCTGGCAGCGAGCTCATAATCAGAGTGCCATGGAGGGCTGCCGTAGGAAACTGAACAGGAGGGTTTCTAGATTTGTTTTGGGTGTTCGGGGGATTCCGGTTCGCCATAAGGTCTGAGTGGGATGCAGACAATCTATTTTGAGGGAACGAGGTGCACTTGACGGAGGTCAGGCTTGACCTCTTTAATCTCGCCCTGCTGGATGCAGTGGAACAGGCCTTGGGTGGGGTTCCTCACTGATTTTAGGCTTAAAACAGCTTGGTTGTGGCCCTGGGTGTGTCCTTGCCAATTCAGTTTGAGGATCTATGTCAATATGTGGAATGATGTGGTCTAGTTTCAGGTCTCAACCTCCCCTGCTCTAAAGGGTTAACCTTAGGTTACCTGTTTGGACGTGCCCACGGAGCGAGGAAAAGGCCGGCTGGTGGCAAGCATTGGAAGGAAAAGGAATTTATAGTCGAGGGGGGTGGTGAGATTACATGGTGCATAGGCTCGTGGTCAGTATATTGGCAAGGACATTGGGTTATACTGTATGACACTATTTGTTAAGCTATTTGCCAAGTTATGGTTATTTACGTATAACTTGTTTGTTTACATTAAGGAAAAATAAAGATTAAAATAAATTATGTTTGTGTTATGTGGTATTTATCATGTTATAATTAATGTTGTGGCTTGTTTCATCCATACTACGTTGTTTGTCATTATTTGGGGAGTAAGTGGGATAGTTCTCTTTTCTTATGCGGCATCACGATTCCCCACTACATACATACAAGTGAATACCCGGTTTGTTTTCTGCAGTTAGCTGCCTGGGAAGCTCTGTTAAAACATCATTTACAGGAACCATAAGGAGCCAGTATATCTCATCACAGAATTCAAGTAATGCCAGGGGAAGGTGCGAAACCCATACCTTCAGCGCTTTGATCCGAATTACCGATCCAGACTTCCGGAAAAGGCCCTCTGTGCCGAGGTGATTACGGAGGAAATTGCAAATGTCCACCAATAACCTGCAAGGATAGACATGCTAATGTACCTATTAAAAATAAAGAATAATGCTCTACCAAGTCATTTGTAAAATTCATAAAATAAAGGCAAATTTAGACAAAATGCTTCATATTGATAAAGCTTTTCTAATGAGGAACAAAAAAAAAAAATTATGTAAAAATCCAAACTCATGTGTTGTCAGTACACAAAGACCAAAACCAATTCTCTCATGAATCCTGAATGTTTGATGTCAATATTGAGGTGAATGGAAAGTCAGAGCCATTACCAAGCTAGTTCAAGGCATTACTTCATAGCTCTCACTTTGACGAAAACTCTTCCAAGAGATATCGACAGACTCACTTATAATACCTGGAGACTCTAAAAACGGTAAGAAAATAAATAAGTGCAAAAACAGCGTTTATATTAGCCTCTTAAGGACACATGACGTGTGACATGTCACGATTCCCTTTTATTCCAAAAGTTTGGTCCTTAAGGGGTTAATGAGAAGTGTATCCAAACCATTCACTGAGCCTTAAAGAGGAGCGGTCACCTCCCAGGATTGATAATATATTTACTTATCTATATTTAACCGATATAGATCTGTGAGGTGTGAAAAATAAAATGTAGAAATCTACACCTCTTTATCCTGTAACTGGGCGCCTCCATTTTAGCTCCCTGTCAATCATTGTTTTTAGCTCTGCCCTTTACACCTGGCAGTCAGCATAGAGAGAACAGGAGACACGAAACAATGTTTCTATTTCTCCTCTTCATTTGCAATGTGTGCCCTGGCTGTGCCTTGTCTGAACTGGATTAGGATGTAATTTAATAAAATATGTAAAAGAAAAAAGAGCAACGCACAAAAAAGTAAAAAAAAAACACAACACTTTTTTTTCCCCACCAGTAGGACCTCCATGCTATTCCCCCATCTCACACACACAGACTGCAGATTCTGCAACATTCAGTAAGAATTTTAGATGACCTTAACACTCACTGAGGGATGTCCCCCTCCGACCTGCAGAGGGGCAACACAGGAAGAGGAACGCCGAATAATCTATCGCCAGACGTCTTCTTCTAGAATGCAAAAAATACAGTTCTTATAAATCCAGTAAATTCATCATAGGGATAATAAACCAGGGCAGCATTCACCGACCTGGCTATCGAGACTCAGAGACTTCTTCAGAGGGCGAATCTTAATCCCCAACGACTTCAGATACTGGATAATGACGGTGGAGGGTCCAGCTAACCCCATGATCCCTTTAATTATCATTTAGGGGGGACACTTGCCTGTCTGCTCCTGAAATGTAAACATACCCAAAATTTACTCTATGACCTTACAGAGTCACAGACAAACCACTAGGACCACCAACTAACCCAGTCTAAGCACTGGTAGATCCTACACTTATTAAACATATGGTACGTGTATAGAATAGTGTGAAAAAGGTTTATATTAAGCTCAGTGTTGCCTGCGGTAAGGACCTACACACTATATGGAACTATGCAAGGCTGGCAACTCTTAGACAAGATATATAAGGAAACGCTAAGAAAAAAAACAAAAAAAACATGCACAGCCTGTTGTATTATTACATCTGTGTATTATCACATTGAAATGGTTTGTAGAGAGGTCCTTTAAACGTACATTCTAGCTAGCAAAATTTAGGAATTTGATATCTTTTGGCACAATTAACTATCTTTTAAAACTTTATTTTGTATCATTTTTGCAATAAATAAATGGCCTTCTCTGTATCATTACTCCCATTCTAAAATACTTCCTACTTGCTGGTTCCTTTCTCCAAACACATCCTGGCTAAGGTGGCACTAAAACTCGGGGACGGGTTGTGGGCACAGGAAATCCAGCTACTGCTACAGATTCCCGGGACTTCCAGAAAATCCAGATGTTCCCTTTATTCTCATTCTGAGCTAACCATTTCCCAACATTCATCAATACAATAGAGCGGACACACGAGCAGTAATAATGTCGTAACCACCCAGGACGGACAGAGATTGTAACTGGGTATCAGAACGTAACCACACATGTTGAACTCATTCTGTATTATTTCATATATAATGCAAGGAAATTTCAAAGTTTACGCAAAAAAAAAAAAAAAGACATAGCAATAGATGCACAATGCTAAAAACAAAAATCACGCAATAGACCAGGAGGTAGTATTTAGGTAAATTAAACAATATACTCTGAAAAATCGATCAAAAAAAGACTGATCTGTAAAACTAGTAAAATCAGGAATAATTAAACTTAAACATTAGAAGACTATAAAAAAATTTTTTTTTAAAATATATCGATAAAAATTCCGCTTGTACATAAAAAAAAAAAAAAAAAAAAAGGAAGAACACACTTATGCACAAATTAACCAATTGTTACACCTTCATTTAAAAAAAAATTATTAAAAAGTTCTACTAAAACTAAATCAGCCTAAAAGTTCACAATAAACTCATTCATACTACAGACTAAGAAACAGCGCAGACATAAAAATACAGTTTTACATTCTAAAAGGCAACTTAAAAATCATCAATCTCGGCAAACAAATATAAATATGGGGATTCAGTTCCACCATACGGCCGTATTGTGTTAAGCGCACCACCCATCCACAGTACCCCAATCTCTGTGGGTCCTACACGAATTCCAACATAGGGAGACATTAAATAGTGCTTAATAAGATAAAGTGTATTTAAATAATCTGTTGGAAGATTATAGAAAAAAAATTTCAATTTTTTTTAAAAAAAATAATAAAAAATAGTGTCTTCCAATTAAAATTTTTATTATTCCTGATTTTTATAAGTTTTACAGATCAGACTTTTTGATGGATTTCTTAGAGTATATATATTGTTTATTTTACCTAAATACTATCTCCGGGTGTATTGCGAGATATTTTTGGAGTTAGCACTAGGTCTTTATAAGGGACTTTTTATCAGTTTATATAGAGCAGTATTTAGAAGATAAATTCCCATTATCTCACTTTCTTTTACCAAATAAAACCATGTTGCCGAAACACGGTATATATTTGTCTGATTAATTTTCCACAATTTCCAGTTGAGTAAAATTTGCAAGCGATTGAAGACAACCAAATAGAGAATCATGAAGTATCAGAGTGAACCCTAAATGTGCAAACTCGAGTAATTCAGTACCTGAAAAAAGTTCACATAGAGCAAAAACCACATTGAGCCTGTATTTGATATGTTGTGAGGTTTCTGCAGATGAAATGACAGTAAAATACTTACACGCAAAACAATTATTCTAAATAGAACAGAGTCCCCGAAAACCACTATTTCCTGCCCTCACACCACGAACAATACACTCCACAGTTCACACAGAGCCACCCGTGGTGTAAGGGTAGTAGTGCAAATTCCCTTCATTTAGACTGATGTTTAAAGGGACACTCCACACACACACACGCACACACACAATACATTAGCTTACTGAAAGCGGCTTTGCCTCATGACTCAATGAAGGCCTCTGATTGGAGTATTCCCTGGTACGGTCTATCCTCTGGGCGGGGTTAGAAGGGGAGGGCTTGCAATGGCTGCAGAGAAGAGATCTGCAGCTTTTGCAAACTGTTTTTAGATTTACCCCCAATGAAAAATGTATGCATGTTTTCATTTGGGGTTTATCTGCCCTCAGCTTATCATTATTCTGAATTCGTTTGGAAAGAATTCGTTATCGAGATGTTTTTGTGCAACCCAAGGCCACGATTAAGCCTGTTAGGACATTCATTCGAAGAGCTCCAGAAATTGAAGCAAACCAAACACACACACACCTGTCCAAAGGGCCGCTCCACATAAACCTGTGCTCCCATCCCATGCACATTTCTTTATGAGGACAGGCTGTACATGAAGAGGGCTGCCCTGCAGTATTTAGCAACACAACACAAAAGTATTTTCCCTCCTGGAACACAAAAATAACCAGGGCAACACTTTTTATGTCCTGGCCAATCTCATAAAGAAGAGATGACAATACGGTGAGTCAGGCAGTCCTGCACCAAATGGGGATTATTCGCTAAACAACAAGTTGCTTCACTTAAAACTGAATCCCAGAATCTAAGCCAAACATTTGAGCTACGACTACAGCAAAAAAATTTTTTAAATCTGCTGTTTAATGAATAATGTTACACCTGGAATCAGAAATTAATTAGCAATCTGAACCCTTAACTAGGATCAGCACTACGGTATATGTTGGTGTCTCAGAATCCATCATAATAGAACTAAGATATCAGACCTGGAGCTTTGCAGGAAACTCACAGATGCAGTTTCAGTTTAGCTTGGCAGCTGCTACACCATACATCCTTTGCACACACCCATAACCTGACCCAAATTATCACATTGCACTGCATGCTGGGAAAAGCCCCCCCACCAACACACACAAAAACTGGCCTGGATTTCCTGTTCAATCGTTAGCAATCTAACAAATCTAAAAAAATATTTATTTTATTTCTCTAGAATTTAATTTTTACTTGTTTGAAAAGTAATCAAAAGTATAAACTTGAAAAGAAACATTACTGCAGTTTTCAAACACCTGTCCTGGTAACGTGCGGTCATATCCCCCTACATTAGATATAAACTCAGTCTGAGCCTGTCCTGAACATGCGCAGTCATTACATTAGATATAAACCCAGTGCTGTCTGAGCCTGTCCTGATAACGTGTGGTCATTACATTAGATATAAACCCAGCGCTGTCTGAACCTGTCCTGATAACGTGCGCTCATCACATTAGGTATAAACCCAGCTCTGCCTGTGCCTGTCCTGATAACGTGCGGTCATTACATTAGATATAAACCCAGCGCTGTCTGAGCCTGTCCTGATAACGTGCAATCAGATCCCCTACATTAGATATAAACCCAGTGCTGTCTGAGCCTGTCCTGATAACGTGCGGTCATTACATTAGATATAAACCCAGCGCTGTCTGAGCCTGTCCTGATAACGTGCAGTCAGATCCCCTACATTAGATATAAACCCAGCGCTGTCTGAGCCTGTCCTGATAACGTGCAGTCAGATTCCCTACATTAGATATAAACCCAGCACTGTCTGAGCCTGTCCTGATAACGTGCAGTCAGATCCCCTACATTAGATATAAACCCAGCGCTGTCTGAGCCTGTCCTGATAACGTGCAGTCAGATTCCCTACATTAGATATAAACCCAGCGCTGTCTGAGCCTGTCCTGATAACGTGCAGTCAGATTCCCTACATTAGATATAAACCCAGCGCTGTCTGAGCCTGTCCTGATAACGTGCAGTCAGATCCAATACATTAGATATAAACCCAGCGCTGCCTGAGCCTGTCCTGATAACGTGCAGTCAGATCCCCAACATTAGATATAAACCCAGCGCTATCTGAGCCTGTCCAGATAACGTGCAGTCAGATCCCCTACATTAGGTATAAACCCAGCGCTGCCTGAGCCTGTCCTGATAACGTGCGGTCAGATCCCCAACATTAGATATAAACCCAGCGCTATCTGAGCCTGTCCAGATAACGTGCAGTCAGATAACCTGTCCTGATAACGTACGGTCATTACATTAGATAGAAACCCAGCGCTGCCTGAGCTGGTCCTGATAACGTAGGTCATTACATTAGATATAAACCCGGTGCTGTCTGAACCTGTCCTGATAATGTGCAGTCAGATTCCCTACATTAGATATAAACCCAGCACTGTCTGAGCCTGTCCTGATAACGTGCAGTCAGATCCCCTACATTAGATATAAACCCAGCGCTGTCTGAGCCTGTCCTGATAACGTGCGGTCAGATCCCATACATTAGGTATAAACCCAGCGCTGTCTGAGCCTGTCCTGATAACGTGCAGTCAGATCCCCTACATTAGATATAAACCCAGCGCTGTCTGAGCCTGTCCTGATAACGTGCAGTCAGATCCCCCACATTAGGTATAAACCCAGCGCTGCCTGAGCCTGTCCTGATAACGTGCAGTCAGATCCCCTACATTAGATATAAATCCAGCACTGTCTGAGCCTGTCCTGATAACATGCGGTCAGATCCCCTACATTAGATATAAACCCAGATCTGCCTGAACCTGTCCTGATAACGTGCGGTCAGATCCCCTACATTAGATATAAACCCAGCGCTGTTTGAGCCTGTCCTGATAACGTGCAGTCAGATCCCCTACATTAGATATAAACCCAGCACTGTCTGAGCCTGTCCTGATAACGCGCAGTCAGATCCCCTACATTAGATATAAACCCAGCGCTGTCGGAGCCTGTCCTGATAATGTGCGGTCAGATCCCCTACATTAGATATAAACCCAGCGCTGTCTGAGCCTGTCCTGATAACGTGCGGTCAGATCCCCTACATTAGATATAAACCCAGCGCTGTTTGAGCCTGTCCTGATAACGTGCAGTCAGATTCCCTACATTAGATATAAACCCAGCACTGTCTGAGCCTGTCCTGATAACGTGCAGTCAGATCCCCTACATTAGATATAAACCCAGCGCTGTCTGAGCCTGTCCTGATAACGTGCGGTCAGATCCCCTACATTAGATATAGACACAGCGCTGTCTGAGCCTGTCCTGATAACATGCAGCCAGATCCCCTACATTAGATATAAACCCAGCGCTGTCTCAGCCTGTCCTGATAACGTGCAGTCAGATCCCCTACATTAGATATAAACCCAGTGCTGTCTGAACCTGTCCTGATAATGTGCAGTCAGATTCCCTACATTAGATATAAACCCAGCACTGTCTGAGCCTGTCCTGATAACGTGCAGTCAGATCCCCTACATTAGATATAAACCCAGCGCTGTCTGAGCCTGTCCTGATAACGTGCGGTCAGATCCCATACATTAGATATAAACCCAGCGCTGTCTGAGCCTGTCCTGATAACGTGCAGTCAGATCCCCCACATTAGATATAAACCCAGCGCTGTCTGAGCCTGTCCTGATAACGTGCAGTCAGATCCCCTACATTAGATATAAACCCAGCGCTGTCTGAGCCTGTCCTGATAACGTGCGGTCAGATCCCCTACATTAGATATAAACCCAGCGCTGTCTGAGCCTGTCCTGATAACGTGCGGTCAGATCCCCTACATTAGATATAAACCCAGCGCTGCCTGAGCCTGTCCTGATAACGTGCAGTCAGATCCAATACATTAGATATAAACCCAGCGCTGTTTGAGCCTGTCCTGATAACGTGCAGTCAGATCCCCTACATTAGATATAAACCCAGCACTGTCTGAGCCTGTCCTGATAACGTGCAGTCAGATCCCCTACATTAGATATAAACCCAGCGCTGTCTGAGCCTGTCCTGATAACGTGCGGTCAGATCCCCTACATTAGATATAGACACAGCGCTGTCTGAGCCTGTCCTGATAACATGCAGCCAGATCTCCTACATTAGGTATAAACCCAGCGCTGCCTGATCCTTTCCTGATAACGTGCAGCCAGATCCCCTACATTAGATATAAACCCAGCACTTTCTGAGCCTGTCCTGATAACGTACGGTCATTACATTAGATAGAAACCCAGCGCTGCCTGAGCCGGTCCTGATAACGTGCGCTAATCACATTAGGTATAAACCCAGCTCTGCCTGTGCCTGTCCTGATAACGTGCAGTCATTACATTAGATATAAACCCAGCACTTTCTGAGCCTGTCCTGATAACGTGCGGTCAGATCCCCTACATTAGATATAAACCCAGCGCTGCCTGAGCCTGTCCTGATAACGTGCGGTCAGATCCCCTACATTAGATATAAACCCAGCGCTGTTTGAGCCTGTCCTGATAACGTGCAGTCAGATTCCCTACATTAGATATAAACCCAGCACTGTCTGAGCCTGTCCTGATAACATGCAGCCAGATCTCCTACATTAGGTATAAACCCAGCGCTGCCTGATCCTTTCCTGATAACGTGCAGCCAGATCCCCTACATTAGATATAAACCCAGCACTTTCTGAGCCTGTCCTGATAACGTACGGTCATTACATTAGATAGAAACCCAGCGCTGCCTGAGCCGGTCCTGATAACGTGCGCTAATCACATTAGGTATAAACCCAGCTCTGCCTGTGCCTGTCCTGATAACGTGCAGTCATTACATTAGATATAAACCCAGCACTTTCTGAGCCTGTCCTGATAACGTGCGGTCGTTACATTAGATATAAACCCAGCGCTGTCTGAGCCTATCCTGATAACGTGCGGTCGTTACATTACATATAAACCCAGCACTGTCTTAGCCTGTCCTGAGAAAAAGCAGTCATTACATTAGATATAAACCCAGCACTTTCTGAGCCTGTCCTGATAACATGCGGTCAGTCATTACATTATATATAAATGCAGCACAGTCTGAGCCTGTCCTGATCATGCACAGTCATTACATTTGATATAAACCCAGTGCTGTCTGAGCCTATCCTGATAACGTGCGCGGTTACATTAGATATAAACCCGGTGCTGTCTGAACCTGTCCTGATAACGTGCGCTCATCACATTAGGTATAAACCCAGCTCTGCCTGTGCCTCTCCTGATAACGTGCAGTCATTACATTAGATATTAACCCAGCGCTGCCTGAGCCTGTCCTGATAACGTACGGTCATTACATTAGATATAAACCCAGCTCTGTCTGAGCCTGTCCTGATAACGTGCGGTCAGATCCCCTACATTAGGTATAAACCCAGCGCTGCCTGAGCCTGTCCTGATAACGTGCGGTCAGATCCCCTTCCATAGATATAAACCCAGCACTGTCTGAGCCTGTCCTGATAACGTGCAGTCAGATCCCCTACATTAAATATAGACACAGCGCTGTCTGAGCCTGTCCTGATAACATGCAGCCAGATCTCCTACATTAGGTATAAACCCAGCGCTGCCTGATCCTTTCCTGATAACGTGCAGCCAGATCCCCTACATTAGATATAAACCCAGCACTTTCTGAGCCTGTCCTGATAACGTGCGGTCGTTACATTAGATATAAACCCAGAACTGTCTTAGCCTGTCCTGAGAAAAAGCAGTCATTACATTAGATATAAACCCAGAACTTTCTGAGCCTGTCCTGATAACATGCGGTCAGCCATTACATTATATATAAATGCAGCACAGTCTGAGCCTGTCCTGATCATGCGCAGTCATTACATTAGATATAAACCCAGTGCTGTCTGAGCCTGTCCTGATAACGTGCGGCCGTTACATTAGATATAAACCCGGTGCTGTCTGAACCTGTCCTGATAACGTGCAGTCATTACATTAGATATAAACCCAGCGCTGCCTGAACCTGTCCTGATAACGTACGGTCATTACATTAGATAGAAACCCAGCGCTGCCTGAGCCTGTCCTGATAACGTACGGTCATTACATTAGATATAAACCCAGCGCTGCCTGAGCCGGTCCTGATAACGTAGGTCATTACATTAGATATAAACCCGGTGCTGTCTGAACCTGTCCTGATAACGTGCGCTAATCACATTAGGTATAAACCCAGCTCTGCCTGTGCCTGTCCTGATAACGTGCGGTCCGATCCCCTACATTAGATATAAACCCAGATCTGCCTGAACCTGTCCTGATAAAGCATTATTAGATATAAGTGTTGGCCTTGGTCTGGCTGTTTCTAGCTGCATCGAAGGGTCGACACATTTAAGGAAGGGTAAAGTATTTGAGGCTGAGTGGGGTTTGTGGTGCATTTCGTAAGTGTACGGCTCAGCTCTTGCGATTCAGAGCTCACTGTTCTTGCCTCTCTTCTGGTAACTCAGATACACAGTTCCTCTTTAGGGCAGACACTCCCTGTCACAGCGTGTCCCCATCGCTCTGCACTCTGCAGCTAATGCCACGGAGGGTCTTTACAAAACCATAACCTGGGTCCCGGGCTTCACCTCTCCACGGTTGCCAACGACTGGCACTGCCAAGCATACCACCCCTCACCATGAATCGCAAAGACAGCAAGAGGTGAGCCTGTTATTGCTGGGTGCCGTGGGAGATCCTCATTAAGAGGGTGATATGACTAAATGTGTGGTTTTTCTGCCTGTGTCTGGGGCTCCCAGTCCTCGTGCGGTGGGCTGCCAGGACCCTCAGGGCTCTGGTACACCATTATTGGCATGCACCCAAAGCCAACGATTCTCCGTGGCTGCTTCCTGATTCTGTGAACTTTCTGCTTTTTGAGTTTTTGTAGAAATTATGAGGAAAGCTGAGTGTGGAAACTTGCTGCTGCAGACCTAGAAAATCTAAATTTATCTTAAAATACTCAAAATTGTGACAATAACCCACTTTGCCAAATCCAGTGTTCTGGTCTAAAATTTGACGTTGGGTTTTGAAATCATTACAATACAATGTTCATTGAAAGAATCACAGCAGGTTCAATTAAAACTGGATGAATCGACCATATTCACACAGGTGGTGGGTGGATGTAATAATGCAGGTAGGGGTGGGTGTGAGTGGGTATATTAATACCGGTGTGAGAGTGGGTATATTAATATCGGTGTGAGTGGGTATATTAATGCCAGTGTGAGTGAGTGGGTATATTAATACCGGTGTAAGAGTGGGTATATTAATACCAGTGTAAGAGTGGGTATATTAATACCGGTGTAAGAGTGGGTAAATTAATGCCAGTGTGAGTGAGTGGGTAAATTAATGCCAGTGTGAGAGAGTGGGTATATTAATACCGGTGTGAGATAGTGGGTATATTAATACCGGTATGAGAGTGGGTAAATTAATGCCAGTGGGTATATTAATACCGGTGTGAGAGAGTGGGTATATTAATACAGGTGTGAGAGACTGGGTATATTAATACCGGTGTGAGAGAGTGGGTATATTAATACAGGTGTGAGAGACTGGGTATATTAATACCGGTGTGAGAGTGGGTAAATTAATACCGGTGTGAGAGAGTGGGTATATTAATATCGGTGTGAGTGGGTATATTAATACCGGTGTGAGAGAGTGGGTATATTAATACCGGTGTGAGAGTGGGTAAATTAATGCCAGTGTGACAGAGTGGGTATATTAATACCGGTGTGAGAGAGTGGGTATATTAATATCGGTGTAAGTGGGTATATTAATACCGGTGTGAGTGGGTGGGTATATTAATACCGGTGTGAGAGTGGGTAAATTAATGCCAGTGTGAGAGAGTGGGTATATTAATACTGGTGTGAGAGAGTGGGTATATTAATACCGGTGTGAGAGTGGGTAAATTAATGTCAGTGTGAGAGAGTGGGCATCTTAATACCGGTGTGAGAGAGTGGGTATATTAATACAGGTGTGAGAGATTGGGTATATTAATACCGGTGTGAGAGAGTGGGTATATTAATACCGGTGTGAATAAGTGGATATCTTAATACAGGTGTAAGTGGGTGGGTATATTAATACCGGTGTGAGTGGGTGGGTATATTAATACCGGTGTGAGTGAGTGGGTATAATAATACCGGTGGGAGTGAGTGGGTGAATGATATAATAATACCGGTGGGAGTGAGTGGGTGGGTGGGAATATTAATGCAGGTTGGAGTGGGTGGGTATGTTAATACCGGTGGGAGTGAGTGAGTGGGAGCATATATTAATACCGATGTGAGTGAGTGGGTATATTAATACCAGTGTGAGTGAGTGGATGGATGGGTATATTAATACCAGTGTGGGTGAGTGAGTGGGTGGATGGGTATATTAATACTGGTGTGAGTGGGTGCATATATTAATACTGGTGTGAGTGAGTGGGTATATTAATACCTGTGTGAGTGAGTGAGTGGGTGGGTGGATATATTCACACAGGTGGGAGTAGGTAGGTGGGTATACCAGTATTCATACAGGTGGGAGTGGGTGGGTATAATAATAACGGTGTGAGTGGGTGGATATATTAATGCAGGTAAGAGAGGGTGAGTATATTAATACTAGTGTGAGTGAGTGGGTGGGTATATTAATACCTGTGTGAGTGAGCGGGTGGGTGGATATATTCACACAGGTGTGAGTAGGTTGGTTGGTATACCAGTATTCATACACGTGGGAGTGGGTGGGTATATTAATAACGGTGTGAGTGGGTGGGTATATTAATGCAGGTAGGAGTGGGTAGGTATTAATACAGAAGGGAGTGGGTGGGTGGATATATTCACACAGGTGGGAGTAGGTAGGTGGGTATACCAGTATTCATACAGGTGGGAGTGGGTGGGTATAATAATAACGGTGTGAGTGGGTGGATATATTAATGCAGGTAAGAGAGGGTGAGTATATTAATACTAGTGTGAGTGAGTGGGTGGGTATATTAATACCTGTGTGAGTGAGCGGGTGGGTGGATATATTCACACAGGTGTGAGTAGGTTGGTGGGTATACCAGTATTCATACACGTGGGAGTGGGTGGGTATATTAATAACGGTGTGAGTGGGTGGGTATATTAATGCAGGTAGGAGTGGGTAGGTATTAATACAGAAGGGAGTGGGTGGGTGAGTGGGTATTAATAGCAGTGTGTGTGAGTGAGTTGGTATATTACTACCGGTGGGAGTAGGTAGGTGGATATACCGATATTCGCACAAGTGGGAAATATAAATACCGGTGTGAGTGAGTGGGCATATTAATACCAGTGTGAGTGGGTGGGTATATTAATACCAGTGTGAGTGAGTGGATGGATATATTCACACAGATGAGGCATGGTTCCAACCTCTCTCTAGTATATGTAGGTGATACTGACTGATATACTTTCCAGTATATGTGGATAATACAGATTGAGCTCCTAAACAGTATATGCTGGTGATTTTCCCATTTCTTTGTGTCCTCAGGAAATCTCGCCTGGACCTTTCTAACCAGACACTGAGCAGCAATGGGGTATTTATTACAATCAAAGGTCGGCCGAGGCGGAGCAGGAGGAGGATGACTTGTCCCTCCCCCGCTGAAATCAATAAAGCTATGGTCGCAGTGACGCTAGCACCGCTGGGGAAGGGCTGCACCCTGGAGGAACTGCTGGAAAAGTGCATTCAGTCATTCGGTAATGGCGGCGGGAGTAAATCCCCAGAATGAATTCAGTAAAATCAATCTCCACAAGATTACATTCCATGTAACATAGAACATGCACCAATAACGTGTAACACGTAACGCAGCCTTACATGCAATACGGTAGCATTAGAGCACATGTCCACCTTGGGAGAGGGTGGGGAACAGATAAAAGGTACTGAGATAGGATGAAAAGATGATTATAATTTCTGTTATTTTTTTTGTGAAGATCTGGAAGGGAATCTGTGGCGGAACGAGGACACGGTACACATGACACTTGTCATGCACAGCTGGGTGGTGCCATCTGATGAATTTGCACAAAAGCTTCTTCAGCTATATCCTTCTCAGTGTATGGGGCTCAAACATATCACTCTTATCAATCCAAACATATGTGACCAGTGGCCAGATGATACACGTGGAGCCAGGTCTATTGGTCAGATGTTGTACGTGGAGCTAGGCCTATTGGCCAAAAGTTGCCTGTGGAGCTAGGGCTATTGACCCTTCATTGCATGTGGAGTTAGGCTTATTGGCCAGAAGTTGCACATGGAGTTAGGCCAATTGGGAAAAAGTTGCACATGCAGCTAGGTCTATTGGTCCTACATTGCATGTGGAGTAAGGCCTATTGGTCCTACATTGCACATGGAAAGAGGACTATTGGCCAGACATTAAACATGGAGCCAGGTCTATTGGCCAGGTGTCCTGTACTTTGACGGAATACACACCCACTGAGGCTGCAGAAAGACCAAACTGTTATTCACATTATAATCACTCTCGGCAAGAAATAAATACAATATTTTGGCAGTATAACAGCTTAGTACATTATTGTATAATGCCCTGGTGAATACAAGTTTGGTCCTTCTGCAGATTCAGTGTGGCGACCTTTATTTTAATCTACTGGATTTATGTGAAGGGGAATTGAAAATCCTTGGGAAGGAAGTGCCATGGCTGACTGACCTTGTCTAAGCTCTTAATGGTATTCACTAAACAATGGGTGGACTAACAGACTAACAGACACACACAGGAACAGAGGGATTGAGGGCCCTGGCCAATGAGTTTACATGCTAGAGGGAGTGGGATATAGTGCCACAGGAAACAGTGAGTTTACATGCTAAAGCAGGGGACCTCAAACTTTTTAAACAGGGGGCCAGTTCACGGTCCCTCAGACACTGTTAGGGGCCGGACTATAAAAAATATTAACAAATTCCTATGCACACTGCACACACACGCATAAGGACATAAATACACACAAACATACTGACATACATACATACATAAACAGACAGACACATACAGACATACATACATACATACACAGACATATATACACATACAGATACATACACACACACACACAGACAGACATACATACACATACAGACAGACACATACTGACATACATACTGACATACATATACACACACACACACACACACAGACATACATACATACAGACTGAAATACATACACATACATGCAGATAGATACATTCATACACACACACACACAGACAGACATACATACACACACATACTGACATACATACATACACACACACATACTGACATACAGACATACACACATACACTGACATACAGACATACACACACACATACTGACATACATACACATACAGATACATACACACAGACAGACATACATACATACAGACACACACTAACATACATACACACACACAGACATACATACTGACATACATACACACATACTGAAATACATACAGATACACACAGACATACATACACACACACACAGACATACATACTGACTAAAATACATACACATACATTCAGATACATACACACAGACAGACAAACATACATACATACTGACATACATGCACACACACATACTGCCACAAACACATACTGACATACATACATACACACACACATACTGACATACAGACATACATACACACACATACATACTGACATACAGACATACATACACATACATACTGACTTACAGACACGCTGACATACATACATACTGACATACGTACATACACATACATACATACAAACATACTGACATTCATACACAAACTGACATACGTACATACACATACATACAGATATACATACATACATACACATACATACAGATATACTGACATACAGACATACATACAAATACACACATACTGACTTAGACATGCTGACATAGATACACACACATACTTGATGAATGATCCAAAATGCACTCTCAGGACTTGTGCATAAAATCCGTTTTTATTTTAAATCATGTGTTACAAACAAATCGACAACCAACGTTTCGACCTCTACAGGTCTTTTTCAAGGTTAGTGAAACTAGCAAAATAGTGCATTTATATAGAATAAGTTGTAAGTGCACTTACCAAACTTTAGCGTTGTGTGTTCCCCTCTCCGAACCCGGAAGTGAGTTAGGACCGCCTTCCCGACGTCATTACGTCAGGTCGTCCGGCGGAGTGTTGATAGGTTGCCATAACAACAAGTGTAAATTACCAGAGTGTAAAATACTGTGATAAAGAAGTGAAGAATGTTGATAAGGGAGAACTAACAAGATGAAAGGAATAGATCCATATTGTAATAACTAACCTCATGCGGCAATTAGTGGTATCCACGATCATAAAGGTGTCATAATAAGTGACTAAGTGCAGAAGAATGTGAATCAATCGTGCAACTATGAAAAAAACTATCAGATGATGGATCCAAGAATTCACCCGAATGAGGTGTTGCTAAATGTGATGCACATAAGGTATAAATATAAATATAGACCTTAAATCAAGGATAATTACAAAGTTATAACTGCAAATGAATTAAAGCACCATTGCAATAAGTATTACATAATAGAGAATTTGGACCTAAGAACAGATCTGGAAAGAAAATCTAAAGCTAGACAAATAATTATGTCTATGTATGAAAAATATGCAAAGCTATACTTTGTTGTAATATAACATCTATGAGGCATAGACCTAATAAAACGAACACCTATTGATCTTGATCAACTATTGCGGTGGGAGAGGACAAAAGTCCAAGAGAATCAATCCTGTGTACTACTGCAAATACATATAACTATATAAAATATTAGATATAACAGTAAAACCTGTCTAGAAAAAAATAAGTCCAAAAAAAGAAATAATAATGAAAAATAGAATTATATGAACACGTAACCCGTCTGTAAGTGTTGATTAGAGAAACATAGAATATGTGACGTGTTCATTGAGTCCTTTTGGAGCTGCTGTTTTTAGAGAATAAATCCAATATGCTTCCCGTTGTAGAAGAATCTTAGACCTATCGCCTCCTCGACGTAAGTGTGGAACATGATCAATGGCAATAAATCTCAGAGTGGGAAGACGATGGTTAAGGGCCAGAAAATGTTTGGCCACTGGTTTCTCAGTGTGTTGGTCACGAAAGGCTGTGGTAATTGCTGAACGATGACCTCTTATGCGATCTCTAACAGTAAGATCAGTTTTGCCCACATACGCTAGCCCGCAAGGGCACGTGATCAGATAGACTACATGATCAGTTGTACAAGTAATGTAATGTTGGATAGGGATCCGTTTGCCTGTTTGAGGATGTGCAAAAGAAGTACCAGGAGCCATGTGACTGCAAGTTACGCAGCCCACACATTTGTAACATCCTTTCTTCTTATTACTGCCTTCATGTTGATAACAGTGTACCGGATCGTTGCGGACTAATATGTCCTTCAGATTCCTGTTACGTTTGTAACTAATCATCGGTGGATTTTGAAAGATTGGTGACAAGCACTTATCTGCTTGTAATATGTCCCAATGTTTGTGTATTGTATTTTTGATGAGCGTAGTATTGGTATGGAAGGTAAGAGGAAGGAAAAGACGATCTGTCTGCGTGTCTTTAATCACCGGGTTTTGAATACGTTGTTTTGCCTTCGTTTCGGCAATAGTAAGCATATGTTGCGAATAACCTCTCGCTGCAAATCTCTGCTTCATCTGTTGTACTTGTATATCTCTCTTTTGAGGATCACTGTTGTAACGTAGTACCCGGACAAACTGAGACATAGGTAAAGATTCAATCATATGTTTAGGATGAAAACTTGCAGCTGACAGAAGTGTGTTTCTATCTGTGTCTTTTCGGTATAGGGTATATCCAATGCCTTTCTCGAATTTAAATAAAGACACGTCCAAAAATTGGATCATGTTCTTATCGATGGTCAAAGTTAATTTAATAGGTGTTTGTAGATTGTTAATGCTGGTAACCATAGTATTCAGTTGTTCTTCTGTACCCTTCCATAATACCAAAATATCGTCCACAAACCTGAAGTATTTCAATATGTGGGTCTGGTATTTGGATAGAATGTGTTGTCGTTCGAACCATGCCATAAATATATTAGCATAAGATGGTGCCATCGCAGCTCCCATAGCGGTCCCAAACGTTTGGACATAGAAGGTGTTTTCAAATCTGAAATAATTACACGTCAAAGCTAGCGTCAACCATTCTAATAGATATTCAATAGGTGGTCCTTCATAGGAAGTAGTGTTTAGAAGAGTTTCACGTACAGCTTGTATTCCTTCAGTGATGGGTATCACTGTGTACAAATTTTGTACGTCCAAAGTGGCGAAAATAAATTCCGCATCTGTTGCCATGTTAAAATCTTTCAATTGATGTAATAGATCTGGAGTGTCTCTGAGGCATGAAGGTATTTCTTTAACACTCCCTTGTATGTAGAAGTCCACATATTTGGCTATAGGCTCAAGGAGTCCCCCACGGGCCGATACTATAGGACGACCTGGAGGTTCCTGGGCAGATTTATGAATTTTTGGTATTGTGTATAATACCGGATGGATAGGACATTCCACTTGTAGGTATTTTGCCGTGTTGGAATCAATATAATTCCCCTGGAGACCTATTTCAATAAGATGGTTAATCCTTTGTTGAAATTTTTTAACCGGGTCAAATGTTAGTTTCTTATATGTCTTTGTGTCTTGTAGTTGTCTCATGATTTCATTTTTATATTGCTGATATGCTTGGATGACAATAGCGCCCCCCTTGTCCGCGGGGCGAATGACAATGGTTGAATCTTGCCGGAGATCTTTAAGAGCTTCTTTTTCTTTGAACGTCAAATTGTGTCTGGAATGAGGAGGAATTTTGATGATCCTTTGTACATCATTATGAATAGTTTGTATGAAGGTCTTGATGGCAATGTTGCTAGTTTTAATATCTTTTTTCACTCGTGAAGAAAACGAATGCGGGCGAGATGTAGTTCCAATTTTTCTGAATTCATTGCAATTAAGAATTCGATTGAGTTTATACAGTTCTATTTCCATCGAAAAAGGGTCCGGTTTCCTACTGGGGATAAAGGTGAGTCCTTTATTCAAAACCGCTAGATGATCCTGTGTAAGGACTTTATCGGATAGATTAAATACTACGGATGAGTTCTCTGAACCGGGGGTCTCCCCGAAGTGTTGGTGTAACGAGTGACCCTTCTTTCCTCGCCTGATAGGTCTTTTT